ATGGGGCGGGGAAGCACCCAACCAATAACAACCGTGACAATAGTGGTACTAGCAAGCAAAATAAGAATATTCTCCATTCAGTAGCTGTCATAAACTTGGCAATTCAGTGTCCTCATGCCCTAAATGCAAGCTACAGGGAATGTCCCGGGCGCACGTGACTCGGCAGGGGGCGGCTAAGTCAAGCTTTTGTGCGGTACGAAATAGATTGTCTGACACCTTTACCCACGCTCTACTTTATTAAACCCTTACAGCCGAAGTCCGACATGACGACCCGAGAATCTAGGCTCCAACCCCAGAAGCCCTAAACCCCTTGCCTGAGTCGCAGGATTTTTGAGGCAGCATACCAATACTTCACTCAGTGCTTCCGTGAACTAATGACAAGAAACTCAATTGTCAATTGGTCCTAACCTCCTCAGAACTGAGAATCCTATAATTTTCACCTGACCCTGTCTGGGTACCAGACTCTCGTTGGGCGGCATCCGGCCAGAGGGGCCAGGGATTTATGTAGGGAACAATAAACTTTCACGAAGTGTCATACCTGGTCCTTGGGCGGGGTGGGTGGTGTTGGGCTGGAGGGTAGGGCTTGGGGGTGTAGGCGGGGTTTGGAGCTCTGGGTTTAGGGCTCGGTGGATCTTTTGAATCTAGAGAATTCCCCAGTTTACGGTTTGGTGACATATACATCGGCTGAGATGAGCCCTGGGAGTGCTAGTGGCTGGAATGCGCACAGCCGCAGCCCGCCGCTGCGAAGCCAAAGCAGCTTCGGATCACGGATTCGGTTCACAAGGATTTCAGCGGGCGGCGCAAGCTCGGTCATTCTCATTGTTACAAGCTCTCTCTCGCCCGCCTCCCTCAGGCCCTCCCTCTCATTCTCACACTCCGACAGATACGAACATAGATAAACATGTGTTCGCAAGCACTGCAAGAGTGCTGGGCACTGTGAGTTTGACGAAGAAGCTATGACTCTTCTGGCAAAGCCGTCATAATCATCTCATGCAGGCACCGAAATCACTGCTGTAAGTTGGAGGAACATGTCCAAACACCCTGCCAATCGGCCCAACACCCTACATCCGACATGCTATTATGCACAGCCTTCCACGGCTGTGAGCATAGCCCCGAGCTCTGCGATATCCTGACAGCGTCGGCATGAATGAAAGCTCGGCTTCGTTGCTTCGGAACGTTCGCCCATACACGACACAATGCCCCCCCCCCTCCCCCATCTTCGTGCGATTGCAGCTCGTATCGTATTTTTCAATGTCCGAGCCCACGCAAACCCCTGTCAAACACTTCGAATACCAGTATCGCACAAGTAGTAGTCGTCGTCGTGGGCGCCGCCATGACTATCGTCGTCGACGTAGTTGTGAAGTAGTGTCGCGGCACTCTATGGCAGCTTTGCATCATCTCCGTAATTAAGTCGTAGATCGTTCTTGGGTCGTCCACAGCCGTGCCCCCGGCGTCTCAACACTCCCACAACTCACACGATCTCCGTGCCAGCCGGCGCCTCCAAATGCATCGCGGCCTCCAGCAGTTGCTGCAGGAACTGCGCACGGAGCATTTGGAGGAGCTCCGTGGCCTGCTCGGCAGAAACTTCTCCCGCCAAACGCCCAGTCTCTCTTGTTGGGTTGCTGCCGTGTCTTCTGCTACTGAGAGGTTCATGTGCGTTGTGTTGAAAAGCGATGAGCCAGGGCTATCGCACCAGGCTCCCACTACATACATACACCTCACTTTTGCCTCAGGGTTCAGTTAAGGAAGCAAAGCAGAAAACACACAACTCGCGAGAGGTGGCAGCCATTGAGATTGAGCCTATGCAGTGCTGCTTCAAGCTCCGATTTGAATTTGGGACCGCTGCAGGAAAACCAACTGCAGCGCTGCTAGCATTAAAATACCTGTTGCTACAAACACTACGATCACTGCCGCTACCACTACCACTACCGCTGCCATCACCACCACCGCCGTTACCAATGCCGACCTCCTCCTGCTACTGCTGCTGCTACTACTACTACTACTACTACTCCTACTACGACTACTACGACTACTACTACTCCTACTACGACTACTACGACTACTACTACTACTACGACTACTACGACTACTACTACTACTACGACTACTACTACTACTACTACGACGACGACTACTACTGCTGTTATTATGTTACTATTATTATTACTAGACTAGCTACTAACTACTAACTGCCAACTAACCAACGACTAACGACTAACCACTAAACAACAACGACGACGATGACGACGACAACAACAACAACAACAACAACAACAACAACAACAACAACTACTACTACTACTACTATGACTACTACGACTACGACTACTACTACGACTACCA